CTAATGCTGTCAGCTGTGAAATCAGCCATTTTCAGCTGGTCAATTACTACGTCTTTAACAACTGAGAATGTGTCTTCGTGTCTGGCTTCTGGAACTCCATGGATAAGCAGGATCCTCTTACGACTGCGCATTTCCTGTCGGTCAACCTCGAGCACAAGCAAGTCCAATTGGTGCTGTAGTGCAGACAGACTCTTGAGGGTTAGTTCCTTGAAAGTTGCAAAGTCGGCAGCTATACCGGTTGTATCGGAGTTCGCGAATGAAGCCTTTTTCAGACGTCTCTCAAATTCTTCCATCCTCCGCCCAAACTCTGCTCTGGTGTCTTGTAGGCTCGGCTTTTGGTTATACATTGTGAATTTATGTATATCAGTAAGAAATACGTGATAGTGAAAGTTGGCAGGTGAAGTGTACCCTTTCTAATTTATTTTGTACATAGAATATTAACTTTATAATAGCTTGACTATTTTTAATTATTAATATAAGTTGGAGCACTTTAAAACGCGGGTCACTGTTCTACCTCACCAGAAAAAAAGTAATAAACACCTACTCAACAAAATACTAGGTTTATATACGCAAATAGTACTTTTAATTTACGATGTTAAACACGATCACAAGTTATAGGTAAAGGTCAAAGGTCAAGACGAGTAATGTAATAGTATTAATTTAATTTAAGGCAAACTAAGCACAGATTTATTTGGAATAAATAATTAATAGGGTGTTCCGGGTACGGAACAGGTCAGATCAAATGTAATCAGAGGTTTCCAAACCACGCTCTGCTACCAAAATGTTAGGGAAAATACTCTCTGCTACCAAAATGTTAGGGAATTTTCTGGAAACGTCTGTCACGTACCTGTATGGTTCTGCGGATTTCTTGGGCTTCAGGGTCTCGAAGATATCTTCGCTAGCTTTCCAGTTTCACAGTAGGTTTAACACAGTTCTAATTTATTTTAATTCACAACACAATGCGCGCGCGCGTCAAGGCCGCTGTATGGTCAGTTCAGTACTGTAGGTAAGGGAGGGGAACAGAAACCGCGGGAACAGAAACCGCGGGAACACTAATGGACTCTAATATAATAATCTGTGCTTACAATGGTACAGGGTAGATTTTGAATAGTCATATTTACTCATATTTGATTAGGAGCCTCAAAAATAAGTTTCAAGCTTATAGCTTCAAAAATGACAATTCTTCCATACAATCTTTCATCCCCAATTTCAACCCCCTACAACCCTATTTTCGCATTCAAAAGTAGCCTATGTCCTTTCCCAGGGTCTAGACTATCTGTGTACCAAATTTCATTTAAATCGGTTCAGTAGTTTTGGCGTGAAAGCAGCGAGACACAGACTTACTTTCGCATTTATAATATTAGTAAGGAATAAGGAAAGTAAGGAAGTAAGGATAAGGATAAAATATAATTTCTTCTTATAACTTAGGATAATATACTGTAGCCTAAGGTCTGACTTGGCTAGTTTTCATATATGAAATTTACTGTAGCCTTCGCAAGTTCTAAACATGTTACTTGTCGGTTCCTATTTTATTATTAGTTCAGTTCTCGCTCGAACGTCAGTGAGTGTGCGCGAGCGCATCGCATATTAAACGTACAATTGTGTATTATAACGAATTCTTTGATAAATTTATATTAGGCAAAATACTTAAACATGGAGTGTCAAAAGTGTAAAAAACCATTGTCTAAAAGAGGAACACATTTCCACTGTAATGGGCAATGCCAAGGTATTTTTCATAAAACTTGTGTGAAGGGACTGGCAGCTGATTTAAAAGCGGGTAGGAGCCGGCTGTTTGTTGTTCAGCAGGCATGTATTAAAGTCTCCCATAATAATTGTATGATTAAAAGATGGTGTAAGATCTTCTAGAAGTTTTTCTAAGGAGGAGAAATAGTTAATGCGCATGGAAGGGGAATAATAGACTCCGAGAAGTAATTTTGTGTGGGAAAGTAAAATTTCAATAAATAAGTGTTCACCAGCATCTGTGGGAGGTGGCTGTGCTGACATACTTATAATCGAAAAAGGAATTTGTAAACGTAAATATATGGCAACACCACCACCGCCGCTGCCGGTTCTATCATTGCGGATAAGTCGAAAGCCTGGAAGAGAATAAGATGTGGACAGGAGGCAAGGTTTTAGCCAAGATTCGGAGACTAGTATTGCATGAATATTATGCTGGTCGAGTGACGCCAACAAATCTGAATAATGTGCTGGAATACTTTGGGCATTGATATGAATAACATTGAAGTTCTTAGGTACGTCCGAAAAATGATCATCCAAAACATCAGACAAAGGTGGAAAGCTAAGCATGTTACTATTACCACTATTACTATTGAAACTGTGTGTTGACACAGATACGTAGTCGTCTTCATCACAGTCACTATCAGTATTACTCAGCATTGTATACATTAATAATAAATATTATAATAAAAAATATATATATATATATATATATATACAAATAAATATATATTTGTGCAATAATAATAAGTAAATGTGTAATAAACATAAATATATTATCGTGCAATTAAAATTAAAATTACTTAACTGCTTTTACTTATGGGCACTCCACCCGCCGATTGCATGAATAAGATGCTTATTTTAATATAATGAAATATTACTTAGTTCACTTTTATATAACCTATAGAATTAAAAAAAAAGAAAATGCTAAAAGGCTGGTATCCAAATATAAAGACAAAATTTGACACATTAAAAAAAAAAAGAATAAGATTGACATAATTGACATTCGACATTGACATTTCACGTTGACAATATTTTTTTATTTAAAATTTGTCAGTTGAAGTTGTCATTCGGTAAAATTACAAATAAAAGTAATAAATATGAGATTAAATGTGGGTACATCGTCTTAGTCAGTTTGTAAGTAATTTGAACACAAAGCACAACGAATATTAACGCACCAGTAAATTGGCATAGTAATGGGACAACAAGTTGCATACAATCAACAGATTAATTAACTTGCAATAAAGCTATTTTTTTATATTAGCTCGCCTGGTTTTGGATGTAGTAACTATTTCCTTGACTGTGCGGCTGATATTTGAGGTTCTGGGTCCGGCGGTGGCGCGATCATATGTAATTCTGCGAGGCTGCTAATACGATGTTTCGACCCATCGGGACACAATATATGGATGAAGCCATCTCGTGACCAACACTTCTTGACTCCAAAACGCTGCCTGGCCATCATGAAAGTGTTATGACGCAGTTTAGTTAAAAACTCTGAGACAGTAGTGTTTGAACCCTTCAAATTAGTTTTCGCGAACCATATTTTGTCACGAATAGTAGTATTACACAGCTTTACCAATATAGGACGGGATTTCTCTTAATTCACTCGCCCCATCCTGTGGCATCGGCTAATGCTGTCAGCTGTGAAATCAGCCATTTTCAGCTGGTCAATTACTACGTCTTTAACAACTGAGAATGTGTCTTCGTGTCTGGCTTCTGGAACTCCATGGATAAGCAGGATCCTCTTACGACTGCGCATTTCCTGTCGGTCAACCTCGAGCACAAGCAAGTCCAATTGGTGCTGTAGTGCAGACAGACTCTTGAGGGTTAGTTCCTTGAAAGTTGCAAAGTCGGCAGCTATACCGGTTGTATCGGAGTTCGCGAATGAAGCCTTTTTCAGACGTCTCTCAAATTCTTCCATCCTCCGCCCAAACTCTGCTCTGGTGTCTTGTAGGCTCGGCTTTTGGTTATACATTGTGAATTTATGTATATCAGTAAGAAATACGTGATAGTGAAAGTTGGCAGGTGAAGTGTACCCTTTCTAATTTATTTTGTACATAGAATATTAACTTTATAATAGCTTGACTATTTTTAATTATTAATATAAGTTGGAGCACTTTAAAACGCGGGTCACTGTTCTACCTCACCAGAAAAAAAGTAATAAACACCTACTCAACAAAATACTAGATTTATATACCCAAATAGTAATTTTAATTTACGATGTTAAACACGATCACAAGTTATAGGTAAAGGTCAAAAGGTCAAGACGAGTAATGTAATAGTATTAATTTAATTTAAGGCAAACTAAGCACAGATTTATTTGGAATAAATAATTAATAGGGTGTTCCGGGTACGGAACAGGTCAGATCAAATGTAATCAGAGGTTTCCAAACCACGCTCTGCTACCAAAATGTTAGGGAAAATACTCTCTGCTACCAAAATGTTAGGGAATTTACTGTGGAAACGTCTGTCACGTACCTGTGTGGTTCTGCGGATTTCTTGGGCTTCAGGGTCTCGAAGATATCTTCGCTAGCTTTCCAGTTTCACAGTAGGTTTAACACAGTTCTAATTTACTTTAATTCACAACACAATGCGCGCGCGCGTCAAGGCCGCTGTACGGTCAGTTCAGTACTAGATAAGGGAGGGGAACAGAAACTATCGGACTCTAATATAATAATCTGTGCTTACAATGGTACAGGGTAGATTTTGAATAGTCATATTTACTCATATTTGATTAGGAGCCTCAAAAATAAGTTTCAAGCTTATAGCTTCAAAAATGACGATTCTTCCATACAATCTTTCATCCCCAATTTCAACCCCTTACAACCCTTTTTTCGCATTAAAAAGTTGCCTATGTCCTTTCTCAGAGTCTAGACTATCTGTGTACCAAATTTCATTTAAATCGGTTCAGTAGTTTTGGCGTGAAAGCGAGACAGACAGACAGACAGAGTTACTTTCGCATTTATAATATTAGTAAGGAATAAGGAAAGTAAGGAAGTAAGGATAAGGATAAAATATAATTTCTTCTTATAACTTAGGATAATGTACCGTAGCCTAAGGTCTAAGTTGGGTAGTTTTCATATACGAAATATACTGTCGCCTTCGCAAGTTCTAAACATGTTACTTGTCGGTTCCTATTTTATTATTAGTTCAGTTCTCGCTCGAACGTCAGTGAGTGTGCGCGAGCGCATCGCATATTAAACGTACAATTGTGTATTATAACGAATTCTTTGATAAATTTATATTAGGCAAAATACTTAAACATGGAGTGTCAAAAGTGTAAAAAACCATTGTCTAAAAGAGGAACACATTTCCACTGTAATGGGCAATGCCAAGGTATTTTTCATAAAACTTGTGTGAAGGGACTGGCAGCTGATTTAAAAGCGGGTAGGAGCCGGCTGTTTTGTAATAATTGTCAAGATGATGATATGGATCAGGAATGCGGAGATGATGAAGAAGAAGAAACAACTATATCGAGTACGGTGTTGCGGGATATTAATAAAAAGATAGAAATAATCCGAGACGTAAAAAAACAGCTCGAAACACTAACGCAAACCATAGAATTCCTCACGGAAAAATACGATCATTTGCGTTCGGAGCATCAAAATACAAAGGAGAAAGTAACTAAATTAGAAAAGCAACTGACAAATATCAACAATAAATGTACATATCTTGAGAAATACAACGGTGCATTGGAGCAAAAAATACTAGACTTGGAACAAGCTGGACGTAAAAATAATATTCAAATCTACGGAGTGGAGCAATTACCTAATGAAAACCTGAAGTCGTTACTTCAAAAATTAGCAGAAGTCATGAAAGTGAGCGCCGATGACATAGAATGGGCTAGAAGGATACCATCACGTAATTCACAGAAGTTGCCTTCCATTCTGGTTGGATTCAAAGCTGGCGGAGCGGAAACCAGGGATAACTGGCTCGCGAAACGACGAAATAACATTGAGCTAACCAGTAACAATGTGGCAAGAGGCTCTCGACGAGATAAGATATATATCAATGAGGATCTCACCAGAGAGGTACGGGAGCTGTTGTGGAAAACGAAAGTGGAGCTGAAAAGTGCCTATAAATTCATATGGGTCAGTAACGGAAAAATTTTAGTGAAAAAAGACGAAAGTGCTAAATCCGTAAGGGTTAAGTCTGAAAGTGATTTAAGTGAATTAAAAGAAAAGTGAATTAATAAAAGTGTGTGTTAAGCAGGTACCTAATTACTTAATTACAATTCGCCCCACGAATAGATTTTGATGAAATAACTTATAATGTTCAAGAAAGTACTACAAACGACTTAAAGTCGTGGATATTGTCATTAGTCAAGAAACAAGACTTCTATTTGTTTCATTTAAATATAAGATCGCTAAGAAAAAACTTTAATGAGTTGATATCTGTTATTCAAGATTCTTTGCATTATTTAAATGTCATTGTAATAACTGAACCAAACATAAATTATGATATATTGGGCATGTATAGCATTGTAGGGTATGATGTAAATAGCTATTGCCGTGCGGGACGGCGGGGCGGCGGGGTGCTGGTGTACACGCGAGCCGATCTATCAGCGCAGCTATACCGACCAATAACCGAGCTACGCACCGCAGAATGCGTAATAGTTATGTTTACACATCATTATAAAAAATACTACGTTGTCTCAATATACCGGCCACCCCGGAGCAACAACTATAACAAAGTGATTGATTTTATAACGGAACTAAATGATTTACTTCAGGAATTACGTAGCTTTAATGTCATAATTTGTGGAGATATAAACATAAATTTATTAGACACGGCAAATGGGTCTGTATTAAATTACTGTAACATGTTATCCGAACACGGGTTCAGTCAATGTATTAGTAACGTAACGCGACGCGAAATAATGAACGGTGTCAGTACAGAATCCTGTTTGGATCATATCTATACACGAATGGATAGCAATTCTATATTTTCTGCTGTAGTGCACCATAAAATTTCCGATCACTATTGTACAGCGATGGCGTGCACCAGCAGCTCTTCGCCGTCACCGTCGCCGGACGTGTCGGCCGCGCTGGAGCCGGACTCACCGGTTAACCGGCGTATTATTATTGATAACGTTACAGTGCGCAATAAATTAAAAGCTACTATGTAGTATAATAAATAGTGTCTTATGTATGCCACCTACCCTATTCTATGTACATAGTCCTCTCTTCTAGGTCGTCAGTAAGAGATTGCATTTAGCGATAAGACCGCCTTTTGTAATTATTTTACTATTTACTGTATTTTCCTATTATTTTATGTATACACAATAAACAGTTTTATTATTATTATTATTATTATTATTATTATTATTATTATTATTATTATTATTGTTGGTTGCGCCATATAACATTACATTTTTGTTTATCATTGTATAATTATTATTAGTAATAGTTTGTTCAAATAAATAATTTAGCGTGGTACGAAACGTTAATTTTCTAAGGATTGGCACTACACTAATTCCTTTATCCTCTCCTATTCCCGCACATACCTTTGTTTTAAGTGCGAGCGAGAAGATTCGCTTGTATCGAAAGTGACATATCGCGCTCGCGCGTCACTGTTAAATTGAACGCTGAAGTTGACATTGAATTCCCGCCTTGATCGCGCTTAAGATCAAGTTTTTTTGTAATTCGTGATAATTACTAAACATTTTAATCCACCGCATCGCTCTAGTGTGTTTAAGACCATTGTGTTTGTGCCATTGTTGTGAAGCAAGTAGCTGGGACCTGGAGACACCGATAGCCGCCGCACTGCAACCTACAATTCAAAGGTACTGTGCCTCCTTCCTTACCAGAACTGTCTTTCTTTGTGTTCCATCCTCACAAGCAGTTCTCAATCACCAACCTAACAGTGTATCGTGTCAATCCACGTACCCGTCAAATTATTTAGATACAGTCCACTTAAATCAAAATCAAACAATATTTATTTCACCCGCGCCGCCATTATTTTAGTGGTCCATTTCGAGCCGAATATTGTAATTATTTGGTTAAACCACACTAGATATTTTATTTCTAGGTATATTTCGTACAAACGCATACAATTAATTTGTATTTTACTACATCATTTTCTTTATTTCGTTATATCGATGTTTCTAGAATCTCGTAGGTACATGTAGGTACAACTACTTACCTGATAGATTCATATCAAATTCCGTGTCAACTCAATTTCGCATCGTAAGTAATAGTAGGTATTTACGATTTGTTGTAATACTCCCGCATTGTTTTAACCTAACTATAGGTAAAACAACTTTATTTTTGTAGTCACCGCATTTATATTCGTAGTTATCAATTACTTTCGCGCCATTGTAGGTAGTCTATCTACCTACATATTGATATCCTCAGGCCCCCTTAGGGTAGGCTGAGACGCATACGATATTATAGCTTAATATTATCGCTTTCTACCGGTCTACTATTGAATAGGTTAGCGGCATAGACTTTGAATTTAGTTCGCTGTAATAAACAAGACATTGCTTACGCTGTAATAAACAGACATCGCTTTGTTTAATATAAATATTTGACAGATTCCTATCACGAGTACGTTGTGGTTTATTATTTCGTATTTTAATTGTAAGTACATTGTGTACTGCCGGCTCTCATTGCACCGCACCGCACCGCACCGCACGTAACTTGTGTAGGTATTTATCTGTTCTCCACCGCACCGCTTTCTTATATATTTATTAGTACAAACAAGTTTTTGTATTTATAGGTTGTTCATCATGTCGGATGTCAATCAGTTACCCCTGTTACTCGCTAAAAAGGATTTAATGTTTTCTCGCATACAAAGTATTACAGATAGGACTCATAATCTTTCTAGTGAATATGAAAGAGAAACATTCTTGTGTGAGATCGAAACAGTTGACAAATTACGCTCGGATTTCGAAACTATGTTAGATAAAATAAATACTTTAGAATCTAAATTGAATCCTAAATATGTTATTAATTATCAACCGCTCATGGCATTTGATGATTTGTATTGCCGTATAAAACGAGCCGCAAGATCGCTAGAGGTACCGCCTGATGTCAAACATCATCAGCATAATAGGGATGAGGACAGGCCTCGTCTGCCCCCTACCAATTCCGGAATACTCAGGAGATCTGAGATCCTGGTCTTTATTCTATACAGCTTACAAAAGCATAGTTCATGACAATCCTAGATTGTCAGATTCGGAAAAATTACATTATTTGATGGGTAAACTGACAGGTAAAGCTCGTTCTGTATTTGCCGGTATAAACCCTTGTTCTGAAAATTATAAGGTCATTTTAGATGCTTTAATTAGTAAGTATGAAGATAAGAGATTGCTCGCATCATCATACCTAGATCAAATATTCGAAATGAAGCCCTTTCATTCATCAAATATAAATAATTTAGAACAATTTCTCGATAAATTCGCAACTTCAGTATCCGCGTTAAATAACTTAAAAATTAATAATCTTTCGGATTTTATATTTTTGTATACCGCGTTAAAGAAATTAGATTCCGAAACCGCCCGCGCTTTCGAACTAGATAAACGGGGATCCGACATCCCATCTTTCGATACATTAGTGTCATTTGTGCGCGATCACATTAAAATATTGCAACGCACTTCTTCAAGCAACCAAGAAGTTACTAAGAAAGTTGTCGGTCGTCGTATGGATGCGGCATCGAAAGTTATGCAACATAAATCTACATACTCTTATACTACAACCGCTAATCCGCAGCCTAAGTGCTCATTGTGTAACATACAACATGAACATTTATATAAATGTCCAGGTTTTCGAAATTTAACGCCTAATGATCGTTTCCGATTTGTTAAATCTAATTCCTACTGTATTAATTGTCTAAGTAAAAATCACCGTGTATTTAATTGTAACTCAAATAGTCGATGTCACAAATGTGACTCAAAACATCATACTATGCTCCACTTTGAGCATAGTAATGCCACCTCCACCGCGAACATACTCAGTGGTAGTTCGGTCACAGCGACTACGTCACGCGCAGTGGATCTATCGTCGCACTCGTCGCACTCGTCGCACACGCAGCCCGCTGTTGGCGGCGGCGGCGGCGGCCGACCGGCTCCTTGCACGGACCGCGCCCCGCACTCACCCCCGCCGACACCCGTCGTATCCCGCGCATCGGAAGACGTAGCATTATGCACGTTATCAGACAATGTTAATAAAAATATGCCTCGCGTACCTACTACCGTATTGTTAGCCACCGCTCGTGTTTTAATGATCGATAGAGACGGTAACGAACATTATATTAGAGCATTATTGGACAGTGCTTCTCAAAGTAATTTTGTAACTAGGGATTGTTGTAATCGCTTGGGATTGCAATGTATACAGAATACAACCTTTTCGATTAAAGGTATAGGAGGGACAACAAAGGCCACACAGGGTTCTGTACATATAAAATTCTTTTCACGGTTTAATCGTAATATTAAATTTGATATGGAATCCTTAGTTGTAGATAAAATAACCGAACGTTTACCGACTGTTAGTGTCGATATTTCATTATTTTCAAATTTTAAAAATTTGCCTTTAGCCGATGATAGTTACGCTACTCCTGGGAACATTGACATGTTAATCGGTGCCTCAATTTTCCCGCATTTAATATTGTCCCGTAAGGTTAAAGGTCAACCCGCATACGTCTCGCCGTATGCTATTGAGACCGTATTAGGCTTTGTTATTGTAGGTTCAGCTCCCGCTAGATCAAATACCGATACTTCCGTGTCTAATATGTTAGATAATTGTAATTACACTACCACCGCGCATTGTTGTGTTACCGAACCCACGATGGAATCCGTTCTATGTAGATTCTGGGAAATGGAAGAGGTGAATGTTGCACCGATTCTCAGCCCGGACGACAAGGAGTGTGAAGCTATTTATGCTGGCACTACCACTCGCGAGGACGACGGTCGTTATACCGTCGCGCTTCCCTTCAAGGGTAATGCACATTCTCTTGGCGACTCGCGTCGATTAGCCGAGAAATGTTTCTTTTGTCTCGAACGCAAATGCAGGCTTCGCCTGAACTCAAGCAAGCCTATGATGACGTCATTACGGAGTATTTAGATAAGAGTTATATTTCACCCGCACCCGTTAATGATGATAGTAATGCTCCTTCGTATATAATACCGCACCATGGAGTTATTCGAAAAGATAAACTCACGTCTAAATTGCGCGTCGTACTCAATGCTAGCGCTAAAACTAGCACGTCCGTATCTCTCAACGATCTTCTTTATAATGGTCAGAATTTACAACGCAATTTATTTGATATTATAGTTAACTTCAGATTATTTTCAGTAGCTCTCTCTGCCGATATTAGGCAAATGTTTCTTTGCATTCGTATTAGAGAGAGTGACCGCAGATTTCAACGCATATTGTATAGATTTTCGCCTGACGAACCTCTCCAGGTTTATCAGTTTAATCGCGTTTGTTTTGGACTCAAATCGAGTCCGTTTCTTGCACTGCGTACTATTAAGCAGTTAGCCACCGACGAAGGCGAATCGTTCCCAAAAGCTAAGGAAGCGGTTCACACCGGTCTGTACATGGATGATTTAGTATATTGTCTAGATAGTGAAGATGAGGCTATCGTCACAGCTGCTGAGATCATCTCACTCATGAAGGCCGGACAATTTGATCTTGTCAAATGGACGAGCAATTCGCAAGTAGTTTTAAATTCCATTCCGTCAACACATCGACTTTCGTCGGTCGTAGAATTCGATGTGTCTGATACGCATAAAATTCTGGGTCTGTGCTGGTCTCCTAGCTCAGATTTATTTAGTTTAAAAATTTGCACGCCCGCTGAAAAGTGTACAAAACGCACCATTTTATCTTGTGTCGCAAGATTGTGGGATGTAATGGGTTTCGTAGCACCCGTTATATTATTTGCCAAACTTCTTGTCAAAGAGTTATGGTTATGCAACTGCGATTGGGACGACGCCCCCCCTGAAGTTATCGTCAGACAATGGTCACGTTTCAGGGATGAGCTCCCCAGTCTAGATCAAATTAAATTACAGCGCCATGTTGACATCACAAAACGCAGTGTGGTGAACATCATTGGCTTCGCAGACGCTAGTGAAAAGGCTTATGGTGCTGTTGTGTACTTCCACGTCGAGAATGATGGTGTGAGTACTGTGCATCTTATAAGTGCAAAATCTAAGGTTGCACCCCGCAAGGTCGTGTCGTTGGCCCGACTCGAACTTTGCGCAGCGCTTTTGCTCGCTAATTTAATTAATAATATTGTTACCGCTGTTAACAACCGCTATCCAATTAAGGCAATACACGCATTTTCTGATTCAACAGTTGCTTTATGTTGGATCCACGCATCGCCCCACAGGTGGGATACTTTTGTCGCGAATAGAGTTTCTAAAATTCAATCTCTGCTTTCACCGCACAATTTTTATCACGTGTCTGGTTCGGACAATCCAGCCGACTGTCTATCGCGAGGGCTTACTCCTGCCCAAATAATTCACCACCCCCTATGGTTCAACGGCCCGCAGTGGGCTAAATCCACCTTTTCGGAATGGCCAGTCACCACTTTCAATCCTTCTGCTGTTATGGACCCGCCTGAGGAGAAGAAACTCTCCTTTGTTACTCGTACACCGCCAGAAGAATCGGTTTTCATCGCTCTGGCAAATCGCTTTTCTTCTTGGTTCAAGCTTCTTCGCTGCGTAGTTTATGTCTGTCGTTTCGCAAAATTATTAACACCCGCACATATTTTAAATTTTACTCCGTTGAAATATTTGCCCGCCGCAGAAATAGCTGACAGTTCTTTGATTTCACGCCACGCATTATTAGACAGATTAGTGCAAACGTTCTGGAAGCGATGGAGAGCGGAATACCTGCACACATTACAATCTCGCGAAAAATGGAATACGCCCATCAATCAGATTACTGTCGGAACTGTTGTAATTGTACGTACTGAAAACGCGCCACCACTTCATTGGCCTTTAGGGGTTATTGAAGAGGTCTTTCCGGCTTCTGACGGCGTAATTCGAGTTGTTCGTGTAAAAACTGCAACCGGCTCTTATTTGCGCCCGGTTGTACGTCTGTACCCCTTACCTAGACATTAGTTTTAGTTAATACGAGTTCTAGGTTAAGGTTTAGTTTATTTTAAGTTTCTATTTTTACTTTGAAGGCGTCCCTTCAAGGCGGGGGAATGGTTGCGCCATATAACATTACATTTTTGTTTATCATTGTATAATTATTATTAGTAATAGTTTGTTCAGATAAATAATTTAGCGTGGTACGAAACGTTAATTTTCTAAGGATTGGCACTACACTAATTCCTTTATCCTCTCCTATTCCCGCACATACCTTTGTTTTAAGTGCGAGCGAGAAGATTCGCTTGTATCGAAAGTGACATATCGCGCTCGCGCGTCACTGTTAAATTGAACGCTGAAGTTGACATTGAATTCCCGCCTTGATCGCGCTTAAGATCAAGTTTTTTTGTAATTCGTGATAATTACTAAACATTTTAATCCACCGCATCGCTCTAGTGTGTTTAAGACCATTGTGTTTGTGCCATTGTTGTGAAGCAAGTAGCTGGGACCTGGAGACACCGATAGCCGCCGCACTGCAACCTACAATTCAAAGGTACTGTGCCTCCTTCCTTACCAGAACTGTCTTTCTTTGTGTTCCATCCTCACAAGCAGTTCTCAATCACCAACCTAACAGTGTATCGTGTCAATCCACGTACCCGTCAAATTATTTAGATACAGTCCACTTAAATCAAAATCAAACAATATTTATTTCACCCGCGCCGCCAATTATTATTATTAAAAGCTACTGATTTCAGTCATATTTTAAATTTAAATTGTCCTATAAAAATTTACACAGAGTTATATAATATTTTTACGGCCATTTACAACACTTCTTGCAAAACTATTTATGTTAAAAATACTAATAGAGGAAGAAAGAGTTGGATAAACACTAAAATAAAAAATATGATAAAAATAAGAGATCAATTATTCATTACATGGTTTAATGATAAAAATAATATGTTAAAAAGACTAAACTATACAAGATACAGAAACAAATGTAACAAATTAATTTCAAAAACTAGAAATGAATATGAAATAAAATGTATTAATGAATGTAATGGCAATGTTAAAAAAATTTGGGAAAGAATTAATCATCTCTTAGGCAATAATAAAAAATCTATAGACGATATTATATTAAAAAATATGAAAGATGATGGTCATACTTCCCAAATTGCTAGTAACTTTGCCACAACATTCCAGTCGGATGTTGAAAACATTAAACACGTATGTAACGAGACATGGATTCCTAGATCTAGTTATGTGAGTGAATCATCAGTGTCTATGAGGTGGAAGCCAGTTACGCAGTATAATGTCCAAAAAGTAATTAAACGTCTAAGTCACAGAAAGGCAGCTGGCCCCGACCACATACGCATGGTTGACTTAAAATATATTATAAGAGAAATTAGTCCTGTAATATCCAAGTTAATAAATTTGTCTATTTCTATGTGTACGTTCCCATGCAAACTTAAAGAATCAATAGTGCGCCCGGTACACAAAAAAGGAAATTGTAAAATTTATTCTAATTACAGACCAATAGCCATATTATCAAGTGTAGAAAAAATAATCGAGAAGTGTCTGATTGATCAATTGAGTAGTTATCTTGGTAATAATGAAGTAATAGATAAGTGTCAGTATGGATTTCAAAAAGGGAAAAGTACAACTGCACTTTTAGCAAAATTTACAGATGATGTTAATGGATTTCTTAACGAAAAAAAAATAATTGTTGCCATTTTCTATGATTTCAAAAAAGCCTTTGACACCCTCCAGCACGAGACTCTTCTGAAGGCAATGGAGGAGTGTGGGGTGAGAGGACCACTTAACAGCTGGTTCCGTGATTATCTCACAGCGCGCACCTACCGAGTTAGAGTGGGAGAATCTCTTAGCGAACCGGCAACAGATGTGCTGTGTGGTTTACCGCAAGGATCGGGCTGTGGACCTGTTGGGTATCTTATGCACGTCAACAGCTTATGCCGGGTACTACGGCATGCCACAGCGTACATGTTTGCGGATGACCTATGCACCATTCACGCCAGTGGCGATATAGCCGAGATCTCGCGTCTCGTGCAGGAGGATGTAGACAACATTGTAAAATGGTCTCATGACAATGGCATCATACTTAATATAGAAAAAACCAAAATGTTAATAATAAAATCACCCTATTGTAGTGTACCGGACATACACTGTAGTATAATCACTCATAGTTACGATTGTTTGCACAAACAATGCAATTGTATCTGTAAACCTATAGAAAGAGTAAATTGTGTAACTTACCTTGGTATGCAAATAGACGAAAATTTTAATTGGAGATATCATATAGAAAAACTTTGTGATAAAATGCGAGTTATGTTGTGTAAATTCTATAATTTGCAATTTAAAGTACCACAAAAAGTGTTAAGGTGTTTGTATATGGCTCTAATAGATTCTATGATCGGCTATGGTCTTGAATGTTATGGTTTAACCTTTAAAACGTATATAGAAAAAATTGAAATAATACAAATAAGATTTTTAAAATTAATTGTAGGGGAAAAACTAAAAATAAGATTTAAAGACAACTACAAAGAATTATTTAAAATTTGTAACGTTCTACCTGCATCAGAAAAACATAAATACTTATTAGCTACTGTTTTACTCGAGGCCAAGAAATCAAACAACACCAAATTGGATAGTAAACAAAGATATATTCGGTAAATCGAACTCAATAATTACAAAATTCCGTACAGTGGTCATAATCAAAGAAAACGAAACTATAGCGCGTTGTACATTTCACCTAGCGCCATCTAGTATAAATATTGAGAACTTTAATTGATATTGGTCGAACATTCCGCCCACCAAGAACTAGTGTTCTTAATCACCGCCCACCATGACATTTATACACAACTAATAAAGTAGGCAACCAATTATTTTTTAAAATGAATATACATATCTAGAGAAATAGAACTAAACATCGTAATGAATACAACAAATATCTTCGCTACATACTTCGTACATCAGCAAGAATCTAACACTAAATTATACTCTATTAACAATGTGACTAAAACAAATGAAACAAACAAAAACAAACAGCGCATTAACAAATCCTTACTAAATGCCAAACAATTAAAAGAAAACAAACAAAGCACAATTACACATATTAAACAATTACAGAAAATCAATTTTAAAATACACATTTAGACATGCAGACTTATAGCTATATAACAACTTATTGAACAACTGGCAAAATACAAAGTTTCGATACAGGTCTTTTTATACAATTTTCTTTACAACGCAAGGTGACAACTCTAGTTATATTGTCTGGACCAGGGTGCTTTTCCTCAATTCGACCGAACAACCATCTACTTGGGGGAAGATTTAATTAAAACAACTTGGCCTATTTGAGGTTCAGGAGTAACTTTCGTCCATTTATACCTGTTGCAAAGTGTTGTGAGATATTCTCTTGACCACTTACGCCAAAAATTTTGAGTAAGTTTCTGCATGAGTTGCCATCTACGCAACATACTGCTATTATGGTTCATGTAATTATTTTCTGGAACTGTAATAAGCGGTTCCCCAATCAAGAAATGGCCTGGTGTGAGAGGCAAACTATCCTCCTGACTAGTGGGTAACCTATACATAGGTCTAGAATTCAAGCATGCTTCCACTTGGGCCAACAATGTGGAAAGCTCCTCATAGGTTAAGGTGGTACCATCAAGTACACGTTTCAAGTGATACTTTGTTGATTTAACCCCTGCCTCCCAGATACCCCCGAAATTCGGAGCGCGGGGAGGTATAAAATGCCATTCGTTTCCTGTATATGCTAAACATAGAGCAAATTCATCTAAAATACTCGACTTTTCAGCCTTAAATAAAACACGTAGCTCTTTTGATGCGCCCACAAAGTTCGTGCCGTTGTCGCTCCAAATCTCCTGACAGTGGCCTCGACGAGCCACGAATCTCTTGAAAGCTGCAATGAATCCTTCACTCGTCATATCACTTACCACTTCCAAGTGGATTGCGCGTGTCACCATACACACGAAAAGGCATACATAGCCCTTGAAGCATCGACATCCGCGACCCTTGGATATTCTAACGTTGATAGGACCGCAGTAGTCAACTCCACTTCGGCTAAATGGACGGCTCGCTGTAACACGTGAGCTTGGTAAATCACCCATGAAGGGTTGTTGGCACGAGGTACTATATCGAATACATGTAATACACTTCTTAATATATTGTCTAATTATACTCCTCACGTTGATAATCCAGTACCTGGTACTGATATAATTATGCATTAATTGTGGTCCGCCATGCAGCGTTTTCTCGTGAGCATCTGCTACAATTAACTTAGAGATATGATGATCACGCGGCAAGATGATAGGGTGTTTCGCATCATAATCTTCTTGACTATGCTCTATACGTCCACGTACTCTCATTATATGTTTATCATCTAGGAATGGACACAAAGACAATATTTTACTACCTTTTGGGATGGATCGACACTTCATCAACTGTTCAATTTCAATGGGAAAGGATGAGCTTTGGCAGTGTTTCAGGCAAATGTTCAGACTATAATTTAATTCAGCAGCTGTAAGATAGGAAGGTAACAATTTTCTATGTTTCAGTTTATTAACGATCCTCAAACAAAAAGCAATTACTCTTATCAACTTATTGAGTGATGAATATTTAGTCCAGACAGGCAGTTCGTCATTACTTCGATCTGAGACAGCAAGGTAAGATTTAATGGCTTTTTTCTCCAAATCAGTAGACAAATTCTCAATTAGAGGAAACTCGTAATAGGATTCATGCAACATCTGCGGTCCATGCCACCATAATCCATGCTCGATCAATTCCCCTGGCCTCAATCCTCGAGACGCACAGTCAGCAGGATTTTGATTAGACTCAATATGTGACCATTGACTGCTGTCTAAAACCTCTAATATTTCAGTTACGCGGTTGGCGACAAACGTCTTCCAACGGTTTGGTTCGCCTTTCAACCAGGCTAAAACTATGGTTGAATCAGTCCAAGCACGTAATTGAACCTTGGATACATTCATGACCGATGACACTTCCGATAACAATTTTGCCAAAAGTACCGCGCCACAAAGCTCTAAACGAGGTATGGAGATCTGCTTAATGGGAGCAACCTTAGTCCTCGCTCCTATCAAGTTAACATGAACTTCTCCAAACTTGTCTTTAATACGAGAATAAACGACTGCACCATATGCATCGTTGGAGGCATCACAATATCCGTGGATTTCTATGTCAGTGGTATCATATGTTGCGTGCATCCACCGAGGTAATTTGACTTGATTAAGTTTTGGCAATTCTTCTCGAAATGAAATCCATTTATCTAGCAGATCAGATGGCACTTCCTCATCCCAGCTAAGTCCTGCAAGCCAAAGCTTTTGAATGTATATCTTCGCTTGAATAATAACCGGTGCAATCAAAAAGGCGAGATATATCGGATAAAATGACTCTCTTTGTAATTGGCTGCTTTTGTGGATGTAATTTAATAACGTACTCAAATTCATCAGATGAGACATTCCATGACACTCCTAAAATTTTGACCAAATCATCTGTCTTAATCACCAAGTTTCTGTCTGCTTTGTTGTGTTGTTCTTCTTGAATTTCTTGCATAAGTTTCTGACTATTACTTGCCCATTTCTGCAATTTAAATCCACCTCTTTCTAATAATTCGACCATTTGATTGTATATATCAACTGCTTCCTCTTCCGTCTGACAACCTGATATAAGGTCATCCATATAAAAATCTTGCAGTACTCTATCAGCTGCCAAAGGGAAGTGCTTGCCTTCATCCTTGGCGACTTGTTGAAGTGACTTTACTGCAAGATAAGGCGCAGAAGAAACTCCAAAAGTTACTCTCAGGATACGGTATTCCCTGAAGGGCTCGTTTGAATTGTGTCTCCACAGAATTCGCTGAAATCTGGTGTCTTCGTCATGTACCTTAACCTGCCGGTACATCTTGATGATATCTGCCATAAAGCAAATTGGATAAGTACGCCACTTCATCAATAGATGTCTCAACTCTCCCTGCAATCGTGGACCGGTAAGTAGGTCATCATTCAATGATTTACCATTATTCCCTTTACACGAAGCATCAAACACCAGACGAACCGCTGTGGTTGATTTATCTAACCGAACAACAACTAACAACGGTAAGTAAACGGCATCTGCTCTAACCTTTTCTCTTTCTTCAGTTATAAGTTCCATGTGATTCATATCTATATATTCTTCTATTACTCTTGAACATTCCTTTCTTAGAATTGGATCCTTTTCTAACTTTCTTTCCATAGTCAGTAATCTCTTTTTAGCTATTTCTTTAAAATCTCCTTGTTCGCAATCAGGATTATTCTTGCGAAACGGAAGTCGCACAACATAACGACCTGATTCATCCCTGGTTGTAGTCTTTTCATAATACTCTTCACAAGCTTTATCTTCTTCTGACATGAAATTCTGCTCTTTACCAGACTCTAACTCCCAGAACTTACGCAATATCTCATCAGAATTATCCAGCGAATGCATGCTAACTATGCTGGAATGGTGACATTGATGGTTTACTTCTACTCTACCGGATAATATCCACCCCAGCTGTGTATCTTGGGCAGTGACACAGCCCTTTCTAATAATATTATTCGTTAGGATCATTCCATAAACATCCGCCCCTAGCAACAAGTCTATCTTACTAGGTGTACCATAACCGGGATCCGCCAGAGTTAAACCTGATAATTCTGGCCAATCTTGAATATTAAGTTTTTGAGCTGGTAAACTGGATGACAAAGCGTTCAAAACATAGGCCTGAATTTCATAACTAAACGAGGTATAAATGGACTGTATCTTAAAAATGACCATATGTTTGATGGATAAGTTAAACTGATCTCCACCCAAGCCAGATACTATTCCCTTGAAAGGAATTTTACGAAGCCCTAATAATTGAACAACACGCTCCGTAACGAATGAGGCTTGAGAACCCTGATCCAGTAATGCTCGCAGTGTATAACAATCTCTATTAGTGTCTACGTGTACTAAAGCCGTAGCCAACATTACTTGACCAGGTGATGATATTGAGCCATTAGCAAAATGTGTTGAAATTCGACTTGATTCTTGAACCTCCTCTCTCTGCACATTTTCTTGCTCTCTGTGCTCGGATTCATTCGTTTGATTTAGTTCCATATTAGACGATGAACTCGAATTTCCCTCAGGGTGCAGTAAAGAGTGATGTCGCCGTCCGCAACGCCTACAAGTGGTACGTCTCTTACATCGGCTCACTGGATGATTACTTCCAAAACAGTTGAAGCATAATTTATTTTTCTGAATAAATTCATGACGACTTTCATAACTCTCATTACAAAACTTTTCACATTGGAATAATAGATGACTTTCTTTACAAAAGGAACAGGAGATTGCGGTAACACTAAAAACTTTTGGTCTCTCTACTTTATCATCATTTCTCTCGTTATTATGAAGACATTCCATAGCCAAAAACCTGCATTCTAGGAATTTATTGAATTCCTCTAACGTTGGTAATATGTCTGAGTGGTCACTGATCCTGTGCTCCCACTGAACTCTAGTACTATTATCTAGTTTTAATGACACAAGATGTATAATGATAATGTCCCAAGAAGATGTATTCACTCCTATATTAGATAATGCACTCAGGCAATCATTTGTTGTGTCCAGTAACTGCTTGATTCCGTTTGCAGACTCTGTCATCAACTTTCTTTGACCGACCAGTCTCGTGAGAATTGAATTAGCAATATAGCGCCTATTATTATATCTCTTTTTTAGCTTATTCCAACACTGTGTATAATTAGCGTCTGTGATTGGGATATGACGTAATATCTGTTCAGCTTCTCCACTGAGGTGTGCCTTTAAGTAGTGCAACTTCTGAACTTCTGCTAAAGATGTATTACTGTCGATCATAGAAACAAATAAATCATGGAAAGACTGCCATTCCAAATATTTTCCTGAGAAAATTGGTAAAGAAATTCGTGGTAAATGAGCAATACTACTTCCAGAAGGCGAGTTTGAAGATTGATCTTTACTGTTCTCCTCTTTTTCCTTTGGTTCATCTTTTTTTAATAATGCCATAGAATCTTGGAGTGCACATTTAAATTCAACATATAATTCTTCAACTTCATCAAATAGACTTAGTTTAAAATAACTTATATCTTTGTCTGTATCTACGGCTTCTTTTAAAATATTCCGATGATTTTCTTCAAACTCCCGCCAATTATTATTTAAAATATTTAATCTCTCTGCAAAATATCCATATGAACTACGACTTTTTGACTTTTTATAATTGCTATAATTTTTATTTATTTTATCTTGAATACTTTTCTGAATTTTCATTAAACCTTCCATTTTTGTTTTAGTAAAATTGCCAATTGAAAGTTGAAAGTCAATTAATAACCGTTTGCACTGAGTCTTAAACGATACACTGGGTGAGTGAGCATAAAAAAATACAAATGTCTATTCACAATGTCGCACTGATTACTAAAGTTCAAGTTATTAGAGTTAGTCCAATAATCACTGAATGTTACAATATTTAAAATCACAAAATTTTTTTAAGTTTTTTATTAGAACCCGAAAATTTTACAAGTGTTTTTTGCATTTATTTCGCTGTGTTTTCGGGCATAGGTTCCCCGTCTCACACAATTTTGGCGAAATATTCTAAGTCCAGTTCACTAATTATTTTTCTAAGTCCCTAAGCTACTCCTAACCAATAATAACTTGATTGTACTTACAGTTCGTCCCAGCTACTTACGACACTAAATCACTAGCTCACTCACCACCGAACTTCACTTCACTAAAGTACCACTAGAGGTCGCCACTGTCCGGGTCGAAGGCCAATGTTTTACTCGAGGCCAAGAAATCAAACAACACCGAATTGGATAGTAAACAAAGATATATTCGGGTGTAAATCGAACTCAATAATTACAAAATTCCGTACAGTGGTCATAATCAAAGAAAACGAAACTATAGCGCGTTGTACATTTCACCTAGCGCCATCTAGTATAAATATTGAGAACTTTAATTGATATTGGTCGAACAGCTACTAAAAACCACAGCAAACAACACCATATGACGAAAACAAGCCATCGTATAGAGACTAGGAAATGTGTACAAGGGAAATACGAAACCCCACCCCTACATCTAAATAATTATTATGGATATCGATTGTTACAATTAAAATTGCCTGAAATATTTAATAAAATGCCTCAACATATCAGAAATCAAAATAGATATAAATCCTTTTGTATAAATTATAGAAACCATTTATTAAAAACATATAACCTAGAAACTTAATAAACAAAAAAAATCTTGTCCTTATTTAATAGTATTTAATACTTAAATATTGTAAAACGGAATACTGTATTTTATGTGTACGTTAAGAGGCCTTTCACATTTTTTGGCGTAAAATCGGGGTCTTTGGGGTTCTGGTTCTAAGAAATTAAGAGTCGGATATACATTTTGATTCCTGAATTATATAGATAGATATCTTATCTTAAAAACAACATCTTTGAAATGTTAATTTTCTCTTTATTAGTCTTCCTAATTTCTCAAATAGTTTATTCAAAAACGCTAAGAGACAGAAGTTTGGGGTCGTCGTTCATTAATAAACAAACATAAATTGATATGATATCTTTACTAAAACTTGATAATTACTTTATAAATTGAGACAGCATCGTCCTTTTTTTTATTTTCAACTTAAATATCTAAAAAATTGATCATAATTAAACCCGAAATTTCAACAAAACTTTGCCATAATCATTTCTAATTTTCTCATAAATACAACGAAATTTTTGCATAAAAAAAACATAATAATAAAGTTAATATACTTGTAAATTAGAAATATAAAATAAATATATAATTTTCTAAGAAAAAAATAAACAATAATAATAATTGAAAGTTGTATAAATTCCGTTGCGCCAAAAGTAAATTCTCAGTGCTGCACTAGCGCTCGTCGAGGTAGGATCTATGCTATTTTTTACGACACCGCTACGATAAGACATTCGAAACATTTGTCAGTGAACATTACTATAGTACGACTAAACAATTTTGATAATTTAAGTAATATTTAATTAATTTTGCTAATACATACTTTCATTTCTACGAATATTAATTTAAAGTTGTTGTTTAATATATATATAATATTTATTTTAGCATGCCAAGACAAAAGTACAGTTATGCTACAGATAAAACCTACCTACCCTGCTGCACTATGAAAAGCACAAGAGCATGGTATTTCGTCACACTAATGGCAATTAATTGTTAAAAATAAAAAAAAACATTATAGTATTTTTAAAAAAAACTGCTTATCTGAGAGAAAAATGTAAGAAAATGTAAATGAATTTTACTTTATGTTTATTTTGTAGTTTTTTCTAAATTAAAATAGGGTTATTGTTTATAAAAATACCATTATTATTTTTACGTACATTTGTCTTGTGTTATATCATCTAGTATGCAATGTGGATTGTAAATAAATTACCAAATTATATATAAATTATATTCCTTTATGTTTAGAGATATTTTATCCAATTTACTTTATTTTATTTTACACAATACAGATATTTCTAAATTGCAGCCATTGTGTTATTATACTCGTTGGACTTTCATTACTGTACAGTTATGTCAAATAGTCAAATAATTATGTGTGTTTGGGTGATAAGTCAACAACATTATAAATGTTTTTATTTAGAGACCAGCTTTCAGCTAGTAGCTTCGCCCGCGTGAACATGGAATATATAGGTTATCGCGCGTTTAAAGATCCGTGTACAGTATTGGGACGTTATATATAAACCTTCCTCTTGAGTCTATCTATTCTGTCTATTAAATAACAACGAATCAAAATCTGCGTAGTTTTTTAAGATCAAAACATACATAGATCTATTACATGTGTAGAAGATATTTTAACTTTAAAATGGTATTGGCAGATCAGTTGGAATCATCGGTATTCTTGGTATATAAGCCCAGCTAACGTACCGGTTATACTGGTCTACAATTAAATTGTCTTTCAATTCTTTAGTAAGCAACATATCCAATGGGACGCCATTGCACATGTTCGGCGGGCTTAAATTTCATGATTGGATCATGCTTTTGAGAAATTCCTTTCTCAAGTTTGAGCAGTTAGTGTGGGAAATTACTATCTGTGCTTCCATAAAAATGAGCTCTCATATTTGTCAGTAGTTTTAAACTTTCAATTAAAGTCCATAAGGGAGACGATGTTAATGACACAGAGAGTCTTTCAGAAATCTCCAGCAAAAGTATAAAAGTAATCCCGCCAATGAGAGCAGAGGTGTTTCTAAGGTCTTTTAAGATTCTGTCCAAAATCTCTATAGCTCATGGTGATTTCCTTACATATAAGCAATGAGGCGTCTTGTAATAATCTATAAAAAGTTTTGATATTAACACGTAATTATTTATCAAGAATCAAGAATCGGCCAACCAAGAACGAGAAGCTGCAATATCAGCCAATCATGCGGCGACGTCAATGATGCAGGAACAGCAATGATAGCAGTTGAAGCTTTTTTTATACAACTTAGAATGGCAAACAAGCTGACGGCCCCCCATGCATTGCCATTCCTGAGAATGTGAGGTTTTATTCCTGAGGTGTTATTCCCCTGTACCCTGTAAATTCACTGCCATATATATATATATATATATATACACAGATAGTCTATATAGATAGATATACATATACACAGATAGTATACCCTGAGAAAGGTCATAGACTACTTTATAGTGCAAAAAGGGTTGTAAGGGATTGAAAGCGGAGATGAAAGGTTGTATAAAAGTATCGTCATTGTTTAAGTGAAACAATGAAACTTTTTTGGGTTATAAGCTAAATATATTTCCTTTATTTGGTCAATTTCATTATACCACGTTGACGAAGTCGCGGCCACACCTAATATACATATAAGAAATCGAAACAAAGCCATGAAAATACAACTATTATATATAAATAAAATAATTATTTGCCCAAGTTTAATATTTAGAACAAGTGAATGTGGCAATAATGCATCCGACTCTTTTAATAAATTATCTTGTATTTATTAATAAATAAATTTAATTAATATATAATAAGAATTAATTAGTACATTTATGTTATAGTAATTTCATCTTCCTGTCCTTATCCCAATTATTTGTTACTCATATTACTTAAGGTTTTGGCTTTTAGTTATACAATCGGCCAGCATCCTGACTTCAACCCTCTAGGAATAATATAATAAAAAAATATGGTCATTATTAGCACTTTGATAATTAAGATAAATCACGTTATTTAAAAAAATCCAATAAATAGTTTATGTTACTCAGTTAAGTAAAAACATATCACATTATTAATTAAAATATTACAAGGATCAAAATGGTTCATACTAAATCCACACCGATTGCGCTACAAGGTTATTTGCGTCTGTGTGCGTGTATTACTGTGTGTGTGCGTAAATCCATAAGATTAAGGGGGTCTTCCTATGTGACGGCCTGTTTTTTAGGGATATTTTAGGATTTTTTTTCTACGACCAGTAAATATTTAGAGCTTCAAGTTTTTTATCATTTATTAACACATATTTGGACAGTATAAATATAAAATTTCAGCTAAAAATATTCAGTCAAACTAGAGTTACAGCGCTCTGAACACCCCCGCCTCGAAAAAAAAAGCTCCCACTTCCTCCACGATTCCGGCTGATCGGCTTATCTGAAAAAAAAAAAAAAACGGCGTTTTAATTTGTAGGCTTAAAAGCACGGAATGACCTATAATCAAATGAATATAAAAAAAATTGGATTTTTGATAGACATTTGAAATAAAAGTTGCAAATTAGGCGTTTTTTTTTTGTTTTTTGCTATAAAAAAATCGAAGTTTTGAAAATTTTCGATTGATAATAGTTCATTCCATGCGTTTACATATATTGAGTGTGCCCTATAAATTTCAAGTAATTCGGTCCAGCCGTTTCTGAGATACAATGGAGGAAAGTTTGAAAAACACAGTTTTGAGAAAAACGCGTTTAAAGTTTCAAGTCCGTTAAAAACTATTAAAATATCAACTTACTCTCAATCGGCGATGCCTGGTCCATAGAGTATTCCTTCCTCTTCCTCGTGAAACTCTTTTAAAGCAGATTGTTCAGCTCTTGAGTCAATCCTGGCTTGTTTAACGACATCACTTACGCGCCGCTCAGAGCGTAAGATTCGCTTTTCATCCCGTTTCTCAACATACGCTTGGGCTTCACGACCAACAGGGCATCCCATAATCGACATAACTTTTAAAATACCTTGAAAACCTTCATTAAAGATAATAACTGCTAAGTAGCTAGCAATTTCAACAACTTTGGGACCAGAATGAAGATGTTTAGGAGCGAAAGTCCAAATCAAAGAATTCAAAGATTCGTTATTGTTTTGTGTCTCTGCTCCTAAACAACGAATTAATAATTCGTCTTTCGATAAATCTTCGAAAACCGGTTTGATAGCTTCTTGGACTTGCGGAATTAGAGGTGGTTTATCGTGATGAAATTGGTCCAGTTCATTATTAGCTTCAGCCTTACGCCATTTACACCAACTGTCTTCGCCTTCTGGACAAAATTGATGCTGAGGGTTTTCATCAGAAGAACATTTGTGATAGTACGTTGCCCAAACTTCCTTTCTTATTGTTTCCAAAATACTTTCATAGATGGTGCTGTTTTGATTTGTATCACCGTATTTTAAATGTTTATTTTATATTTTCAAATAATAAGTACTTACTATATTATTATGATAAATTAAACATAAAAAAAGTTTAAGTAAATATAAAACAGCTGAACAAGAAAATAATATTATTACAGTAATACTTATTTAGAAAGTGTTGCCATATTAGAAATAAATGCATAGATTTATTGATTTTTTCGACTAATCGATAACAGGATATTACAGCGCATTATTCGATGGTGCTTTTAATCAGTCTTTGCAAACAGTAAAATTTTATCATTTTGTATTATACTCTTATTTGTGGAACGAATTGCAATGCATAATTTTTACTCGACGACGGCAAAATAGAGAGATTTTGACAGGTATGCAAGTACTATATACTTATCTGTTCGCTCATAACTTCGAAACTTGGAAGAGGGGAATATTAATTAGATTGATCTGATACAAGTGTATTCTATTATATCAACTTCCACGCGGTCACCCTGGTAATTATAGAAATTAATGACATTAGTGACATTGTTCTTCTATTAAAAAAATAAATACCTACTTATTGTAATTTAATGAATGAGAATAATGACCAGGTCGTCCGCTGGTCCTTACGGACCGCCGGGTGCGGGCCTCGAGCGTAAGCTTTTTGCCCGGGCGTACTGCTGGGGTGTGCCACCCCAGCGTCGTTCGTTTACCGGCCGGAAGCCGGTTCCCTTCCAGCAGCCGGCTGAGGGAATCGTGAGTGAGGACTCTATAAGTCGCTCGCCGAGCCGGCTTAACGCCGCCACGTCACGTAAATGACGTGATCACTCGGTGGAGAGTAAGTCGCTCGGGAGCGCGCGAGTGGCGTCCGGTGGGCGCACGTGGCGAGGGGCGAGGTCGCGCAGGTGCGCTTCGCGCCCGCTGTCCGCGCGCGTCTACCGGACGACGAACTGCTCCACCGATGGGACCTTAAGGTCGCGCGCGATCACGTCATTACGGACGTACCGTCCGGCATTTGTGCACAGACGGAAGGCAGCGTTTTGTTGGACCTGCAGTCTCCGTCGCTGGAGGCCGAGCACAGTGCGTACCATGCGAGGGCGGCATATGTGAGCCGCGAATGAATGTAGGTCTTATAAATGCCTACTTTCGTCCGCAGCTGCAGCCTGGATTGCAAGACCGGTCGCAGCATAGCGCGCGCGGCCTTGGCTTGGGTTACAGCCCGGTTTACCTGCGCCGTCATACGCAGCGACCGGTCGATTTCGACCCCTAGGTAACGCACTGTGCGTTCCCACTGTATGGGCTAGCCTCTCAGTGAAAGTGGCGGCGGGTATTTGCACCCGGGGTGGGTAAGCAGCGCCACCGTTTTGCCCACGTTAACGGTGGTACGCCACATATCCAGCCACTCGGGGAGCAGGTCCAACAGCCGCTGCATTTTGCGAGCGGCTGCGTAGGCTCGGCGAGACGACGTGAGGAAGGCACTGTCGTCGGCAAATAGAGCGAGGACGACATCCTCTCTCTCCCTCTCGGAGCTCATCCCTCAAGGTGGGGATGTCGTCTGTGTACGTCGCGTAGAGCGCTGGCGAGATGCAGCTGCCCTGCGGGACTCCGGTGGCGATTGGGCGTGTGGTAGAGTCACAGTTCTCGACCGAAACGTAAAAGCTCCGCCCCGAGAGGAAAGAGCCACTACTCGCACGTATGCTGACGGCGTGTTGGTGTCGAGCAACTTCGACACCAAACCGTCGTGCCACACACGGTCGAACGCCTTCTCTATATCGTCTGGCGAGTAGGAGTAGGCACTTCTTTTGTCTCTTCTGTTTTCGTCTTTTTCTTTTCTTTGTTTTTCAATCTTTCCTGTCGGAGGAGTAACTTCGGCCGCAAGGGCACCAACCTTTGGGCACCAGCCGCACCCAAAGTGTATTAGGCCGCAGTCGGTAGCAGGAGGCAACGCCGGCTGTGCAACCTTTCCCCTACACTCGTGGGAACAAAAATGGAAGCTGCAAAAAACAAAAACTTCGATGTTGGGTCCGTGAAGGACGGAGAGAAGATGGTGTCCGCGAAGGACGGAGAGAAGGTGAGGAAGGTGGTGTCTGAGAAGGACGGAGAGAAGGCGGGGTCCTCAAAGGACCAAGAACTGATGGACAAAGCGATAGGTGGAATGAGCGCAGAAGATGCGGCAGCGTTTGGCGAGCTAGCACTCGAGCTGGAGTTTGCGGAGCAGGAACTGGAATTGGGGTCCGACCTCTCCAGCTCCTGTATGTCGCTAGACGACGACGGGAGGTCTTCAGTTGAGGGCCCCCGTAGATCATCAAGACGGAAGAGGCGTCGTACGGATGCGGACTCAGAGTCTGATTGCAGTGGGCGAACAACCCCTGTCACAAAAAGCCCTGTGGCATGCGGGGACATCCGGAAAATGTTCGGGTACCGGTTCCACGGTGAGAACAACTTCCCAGAACCGGTGGCAATGCCGCCGAAAAAGAAGCCGGCAGATGCAGCAACTACATCTGTTACGACTAAAGAGGCCCCCTTAGGCCTTAAGGAAGCCAGAGTCTGCCTACAGCGGATGACCGACACGGACGATGACACGGCCTATTCCCAAGCGCCGTCGGATGGCATTCGGGAGGCTATATTGGCCCTGGAAGAAGCCGAGAAGACAATGCCAGAGGCGGAACCGGCCAAAAGGATAAGGAAACCCCCAGCACGTACGGTTTCCCGCAAACCCTCATTCAATGAGGAGACGCGGGCCGCTGACGAGCTCGGGGAGCACCTAGAAAGGGAGGCCAGTCGGGTGCTTGATGCTATCCGAAAGTCGGCCAATCTAACAGGGACAGTAATAAAAGACGTCAAGGACTCCGTTGCCTCAATTTGTTGAGCGGCGGAAGTCCTCAAATCGCGATCGGACACGGTAGAGTGCGCACGTTTACGTGCTGCCAACTCCCGTCTCGAGAAGGAGGTGGCGGAGGGCAAGGCGAAGATTGCCAGCTTCAGGCAAGAGTTCGCCCGTCTCGACGCAGAACTGGCAGCCCTACGCGAGGAGGTGGTCCGATCGCGATCGACTGGCGAGAAAATACCGGCAGAGACAGAAGCACATATGAGGAATTCCCGGGTCTTCGAAAATATGGAGGAGAGATTGGTCAGGCGTATGGGGGAGATGATCGATGGCCGTATGGCAAGCATCGAAGGACGCCTCCTCCCGCCCGAAGGAAGTCCACCCGCCAACGATGACGGAAGCCGGGGCTCAGTCCCTCAAGGTAAAGCGGGTGGCTCACGGAAAGACGCACAGGGGTCAGCACCCCAGGCCAAGGGCGGCAAAAAGAAGCCCAAGAAGGCAGCCCAAACGGCCTCCCAACCGGTAGAGAGAGGCTCCCTCCCGGTAACCCCAACGGCAGAAACCTCTTGGGCCACCGTCGTTAAGGGGAAACGGGGGAAAATGGTGAACGTCACGGAGGGCCAGGCGACACCATCAACGAGCCGTCAGGGGCCAAAGCTAGGCACATCAACGCCGGCGAAGACCACTGCGCCAGTCCCGTCGAAGTTAAAACCGTCCCGCTCTGCGGCGGTGGTAATAACCATCGACCCGGCTGCGGAAAAGGAAGGCGTGACGTACGCCAACATCTTGTTGGAGGCGAAAAACCGAGTCGATCTTCGGCCACGCGGTATTGAAGCGCTCAGATTGCGCCAGGCCATTACCGGAGCCAGAATTCTGGAAATCCCTGGCGCAGAGAGTAGTGGGAAAGCCGACGCCCTGGCGTCGAAGCTCCGGGAATTTATCCCGGAGAATATGGCAAAGGTGGCCAGGCCCGTCAAAACTGCGGAAATGCGCGTGATGGGCCTGGACGACTCTGCTACGACAGAGGAGGTGGCGGTGGCAGTTGCCCAAGCTGGGGATTGCCACCCGGATGCGGTGAGAGTGGGTGACATCCGCCGCAACTCCTTCGGGATGGGGACCTGCTGGGTTCGCGGCCCCGTGACGGCCATTAAGAAGGCGACCACCGCGAAGCACATTCGCATCGGGTGGGTGTCGGCACGGACAGAGCTCCTGCGGCAAAGGCCGCTGCTATGCTTCCGATGCCTGGAAGGAGGACATGTGAGCAATCAGTGCTCACACACCCAGGATCGCAGCGGTCTTTGCTACCGTTGCGGGGAAGAAGGTCACCGTACGGCAACCTGCACAGCTGATCCGCGGTGCGTCGTCTGTGCCGCGCTGGGTCGTCCGGCGAACCATTGGGTGGGTGCGAAATCATGCACCCCGCCCAAAAACAAGAAGGCGAAACGGCCAGCCACTCAGGCCCCAGGCCGAAGGAGCGTTCAGGAGGAGGGGATGGAGACGGGTCGGGAGCCTAGTCCCCCTCCTGGCGATCAGGGAGGCAGGGGCGGCACGTAGTTGCCCCTCGGTCGCCACCGGGCCGGGGTGACGACCGCGGGGGCGCACAGTGGGCCCAAATTGAAAATTGGTGGACATAGGCAACAAAGTTCCAATATCGATACGATTCTTTTTTTATATGACGTGTTATGATATTCCTGACAACTTTTACTCTTGTAAAATTTCTTCTAAAGTTGATAGTTTGTCTGAAAAAAAAATAAATTATGTTTTTTTTGTATGGAGCGAATCACGTTTTATTTTTTTTCTTCAATTGTACAAATATGTTGGGTGTATGGCGTTGGTATATAATAGTTAGGGTCATTCTCTATCCACTAAAAAATAAATCAGCCGCGGTCACTTGCAGCCGCGCGAGTAATCGTTCGGTAAAAAAATAATATTTTGTATGAATTTTTTTGCCATTTAAAATAAATTCAAAGTATATTTTTTGTCTCATTTGGCTGTTTTTGTCTTCTTTTTAGTTAAATATATAGTTTTAATAACACATAGGTATTTAGTGCTAGCAATTCTGGTAGAATTTTAGTTATTTTTGCATGACTCATTTGTTTGTGCGCTCGGCTAAGCGCATAACAAACGAGTCAACAAGAAATGTTTGTCTCTGATTGGCTGTAAACTTTTTAACTACCAGCACTTTATCTATTGTTGAATAAATATCGTAATAAGTTTTTGGTTATACTAATTTTGTTAATGATAGGTGAAATAGTTTGAAATTGTACGGACAAGACGTTGATAATTATTATCTACATAATCCAACTTATGCATATTATAGTATAAGTTATCGTTCGTATGATCAATAGGAAATTGGAAAGTAATAGTAGCCCTGATGGGCTTTTGTGGGAATAATCGAGAGCTGGATCACTTTATTTCTGGTTCCAGAAGTGGGTCCGGCAAATTTTCGGACTCTGCTACGAGGCATTTTTCTTCCTCCATAATGTCACTGTCACAGGGAGGCTCGGTAGTCTGTAACAACTGAATTGCTTCAGGTATTATACCCATTATGAACCTGTTTCGATATTTTAGACCTTATGTAGGATATGTGGGTATCAGAACTGATTAGAAGTCCATGGAGGATGTCTTCGTTTGCCCGTTTTACGAGTGTAGACGTTTTAGAAGTCCTTATTACGTGCTTCCGAAGCTTTTTCTGATGAGTTATCTAAAATGAATAAGTATATACATTTTAATGTCAAAAAGTCATCGAGTCAACTAATACATTAAACTATTTATTTTTTAGTTACCGATTGGCAAAACACCAAAGTGGTCACAGATGCACCGTGCTTTAGAAGTTTATGTACACTAACTGGCATGTAATAAATACCATACCATACCATACCATAAATAGTGTTGCACGTATACATCAGCTGTTTCTCTACAGTATCTTCTAAACTTTTCACAGCCAATGTTTTTCCCTGATGGTTTGGCTTGTAGGATAACGGAAAATCAGATTTTCGTCAATTCCCGTTAATTTGGATGATATTTTGTAATCTTGGAAAAAGCGCCTCGCAGTATTACTGTCATTAGTAGTTGCAAAACCCTTAAAAGGGAACAAAATACTGTAATATACAATACACATATATGTAATACGCAAACAACATAGAAAGCAATCAGCATTCCAGTTTACTCACGAAACTCTTGTTGCGTGGTATTTTTTTAGCTTGTTTCAAAGCCTTTTGTTCTCTTAGCAGTCCATCATTGAAAATCCAGATTATAAGATATATGGAGAAGACATTCCATACACCGAATCTTCATATGCAGTGACGAAATTCACTGTTTGTAAATTTCTTCACGAAGTGGTCTGGAAGTCAAAGTGTCTAAATTATTCATCTTGCTCGGTTTTGCCGAGCAAATGGTACACGTTACATATGATGGTACTTGAGCAATAATATTGGCCACTTTTCCATCAATCATGGTCATATGCAATTTCATGTGATTATATTTCCACACTGTGTAGATATTCGTTCATCAATTTGTTTTTTCCTCTCAGACTCTTCAGACTTTTAAAATCTGTCTTCGAAGTGAAAGTGAACTTCACTGATCGACAATACAGAGTTGAGCAAGGTGTGGGGTTAGTTACTCTACAACGAAGAACCATCAACCCCCCATTTCCAGGTCAACTTGAGTTTTTCATTTTTTGACCTATTCACAGAATTCATATCTAGTAAAATCTTCTACACAGTGTGCTCCAATAGCGCTTACAATTTAATTTGAGTTCCTTTTTCGGTAATCTCCATACTCTCTTGTGGTGGATAACATCTTTTCTTGGAATTTACGAGCTTTGGATACGATGGAAAGGTAGCAAAGTTTTCTTCTGTCAGAAATTCTTGAAGAGCTTAATACTTCCATGTCGAGAGCGCAAGTGATGCATAAAGAGCTAAACACTTATCTTCAGAGACAGTACTTAAGCTCTGGATTTTTAATAATCGCTCGTGTACTTTAGATAGCTTTTTTGGATTACTGGTAAGGTAATTGACCAGTTTTGCCAGATTCGTTTTGCCGTTGTCTTTCAATTTTGTTAAGTATCAGTGTTGCAACTCTCCCTAGGAATTTTCATCTACTATGGGAGTAGAACGCCTTTTTTTTACTTATTACTTAAGTCTTCGAACGGTTTCCGTGCTCCTTTTCTGTAGATGTTCCCGCTTCCGTAGTACTTACTGCAAGATTAGGAACATAGGAATCCATATCTACTGCTCAAATAAGCTGCGTCCAAAAAGCCCAACTCATTTCTCAGGTCACACTGTCACAAGCATGCCAGTTGGTGTTTTTTTCAACCACTTGCGATTACTTACACGATTCATAAAAGTTTTTTGAGTTCTACATGACTCTGTCCACTTTTTATTTAGATTTAGACACAAAAAAGTCTACAGAACTCCTTGATTATGTTCTTGTCTTCTGCAGAAACTGCGGTATTCAAAACAGAAATTATACATTCATATAGATATATAAAATTTTTCAGATCACCGCCATTCTTAATTTCACAAAAATATCTAGGTTGGTACAAATTCCAGCCATAGTTCTAATATCAATATAAAAATAAAAGTATTTCACTGTGTTCACAAATAAGCTACAAGAGCGAAACTAGATGTACTTAATTAATGTCTTTGTATTTATAGTCAGTGTTAATTACTCAAGTAGTGGACATAACAGTGACTGAAAATGATTCAGTCAATCAGAGACAATTATTTTTCAGTGACTCGTTTGTTATGCGCTTAGCCGAGCGCACAAACAAATGAGTCATCAATCACAATGCAGGCGCCACCGATAACATGCTATAATAACTAAACCTCTACCAGAATTACTAGTTGTAAGTACCTATGTGTTATCAAAACTATATATTTAACTAAAAAGAAGGTTAAAACAGCCAAATGAGACAAAAAATATATTTTGAATTTATTATATAGGCAAAAAAATTCATACAAAATATTGTTTTTTTACCGAACGATTATTCGCGCGGCTGCAAGTGACCGCGGCTGATTTATTTTTTAGTGGATAGAGAATGACCCTAACTATTATATACCAACGCCATACACCCAACATATTTGTACAATTGAAGAAAAAAAAAACGTGATTCGCTCCATACAAAAAAAACATATTTTTTTTTTCAGACAAACCAACTTTGGAATCAACTTTAGAAGAAATTTTACAAGAGTAAAAGTTGTCAGGAATGTCATATAAAAAAAAATCGTATCGATATTGGAACTTTGTTGCCTATGTCCACCAATTTTCAATTTGGGCCCACTGTGGGGCGGTCCCACCCCACCACACTAGGCCCGAAGAAGTCGCGCGCATGTCCCCGCGCGCCTTCCCCAGGGAAGAGGAGGGGAAGTAGTGGGTTCCGCTAGGGAACCCGCAGAGATGGGGCCCGCTGCTAGAGTGGGCCACCGCCGCCGGAGTTGCCGTTGACTGTCATCGATCCCGTGACTCCAGCTTAGGCGTTGGGTGAGGGACATCTTGGAGTTTTTAGTGAGTAGGAGTCTCACAGTACCCGCGGGCTTCCCCCGGGGCCGGCGGGTCTCCATGAGGGATTTTCTCCAAGTCAAAAAAAAAAAAAGGTCGGTTTGTGGTCCCGCGGGCAGTCGCAGTCCGCTGCCAGGTGGTCACCCGCGCAGCGGACGCATTTGAGTGGACGGTGGCAATTTGTCGAGGCGTGCCCGAACGCCTGGCATCGGTGGCATTGCGCGAGCACCGATGCCGGCTTCCACGCCTCGATGACTACACCTCGCATGCAGAGGAGCTCTGTGACAGCATATAGCCGAGCGAGCTCCTCTTTCGCCATGGGGTCCAGCTGCGCGTGGAATATGCATCCGGGGCGGCCGCGGCGCGCCGGATTGCCGCGCACCAAGCGTACGCCGAACCCCCTGTGCTCCAGGGCCTCCACTATGTTGTCAATTGGGGTATCCGCTGGGAGGCCCCTTATGGCTACCTTGGTCGGTAGCTCCGTGGCCTGGCTGTAATAATACCAGCTGATGGTGGGGTCCCGCTCGCTAGCCTCCACCAGGTATCTTTGTATTGCACGGAATTCCGCATCCGACTTTGGGAGGAATCGGAATCCCGTGCTAAAGGGGCGGGCATCGGGCGCCTCACCCAGGACCCTCGCCAAATTCGCAAAGTGGCGGGTCCAGTTCGGCAACCTCTCAGCCACTATAGGCGGATATTTAGCCGCCGCAGTGGCTGGCCCTTCGCTTCCCGAGAGTTGGGGGGGGGCTGGCACGACCGGTGCTGCCGCCGGAGTGGCGGTTGAGGACGACGGTCCTGCTGCTATCGCCGCAAACGACGGAGGACTCCTCGTCCTTGGTGAGGGGACGGGCGGCGGGACTGACTCCATTATCGGGTCAGTAGCAATGCCCGCGTATGACGTTACGTCAAAGTCACCCCGGTTCAAGGTGAACGAGCGGGGTGAGGCGCGGGGCGAGGCGCGGGGTGTGGGGACAGGGGACTGCGGCGACGAGTAGGCGTCGCCGTAGTAGCACCCATCAGCCTCTTCTTCCCCGCTTTCAGATGAGGGAGAA